AAGAGGTAGATGGGTGACCAAGGGGCGATTGGCGCTACAATGGACTCACAAGAGGCTGTGGGAGCCCAGAGGAGGCCTAGGGAGGGGGCGGGAGAATCAGAAGAGGCCTTCCTGGAGGAGGTGGTGCTAAAGCTGAGAACCAAAGGGCAAGCAGGGCAGAAGGGGCAGCTAAGCCAGCTCAACACGGGCCCCCAGAACACAGGCTGAGAGTTTTGGGGGTGAGCTCCACTCACCCCACACTGCCTACTGCTACCCCAGATAAACACACCCAGAACAAGCATCAGGGGAATGTAAAAATTACTCCAGCTGATTGTGCACCCACATACAGGCTGGAAACTCTTTCCGGCCATGTCCAACAGAACTTTCCATGATGATGAAAACATTCTGCCTCGACAGTGTCCAGAACAGTTCCCGGGAGCCACATGTCACCACTGAGTGCTTACGATGTGGCAGCATGGCTGCTATGGGACGAATGTATATGTTGAAGTCCGAAACCCCCAGGACCTCCGAATGTGGCCTTATTTGGAAAATAGGGTCGTCGCGGATGTCATGAGTTAAGGTGAAGTCGTACAGGACTAGGGTGGTCCTAACCCAATATGACTGGTGTCCTTATGAAAATGGGGAAATTAGGACACAGACGTACACACCAGGGGAATGCCATGTGAACATGCGTGCAGACATGAGGGTGACGCATCAGCAAGCCAAGGAACACCAAAGATGGCCAGCAAACACCAAACTCTAGGAACAGACCCTCCCTCGTGGCCTCGGAACGAACCAACCCTGCTGGCATCTTGATCTCAGACTTCAGCCTCCCGAACGGGGCAGAATACATGTCTGTGGTTGAAGCCCCCTCGTGTCTGGTACTTTGATACGGCAGCTCCCGCCGACCAAAACAATCAACTGACTTTGAAACTTTCCTTTCGTTCTAGCTCAGGATAAGTAGCCGCACGCGGCCAGCGGCTGCTGTATTGGACAGCGCAGTAAACGGTTTCCAGTCACCAAACCCCCATCGTGCGGCGGAAAAACAGACGCGGGGGGCTGCCCCGAGAACTTGGCGAGACAGAGACAGGCAGACCCTGGCTGGGTCCTGGGAGGATGGAGAAAGAGAACATTCTACCAGCCGAGGGGGCCGTGTATTGAGGGTGTGCACCTGCGCTGTCCCATCGGCTCCTTAAATGCAAACGAACTCAAAGGTCAGTTCTTCCGTTTCACCGGCCCCTGACGGAGTGCTCAGCAGCCACGCGGGCTTCCTGTCCTGGCTGGAACCTCTCACCATCGCCAGCCGTTTGGTGGGACACGTGGATGCGCTTCACCGTGGCAAGCACGGAGCAACACAACCTCACGCTGTGGGTTCTGCTTGTCACCGGCCCCTTTTACAGGTGGGGAAGGGGGAAGCTGTCAGTGCTAAAAAGCACTCCAGAGCGTAGGCACGGCTCCCGAGGCCAGGAGACCAGACCACTGGCCTTTTGTTGGCCCCAGACTGCGGTCCCAAGAGATGCAGAACCTAGAGGTGGAGGAAGAGGCTGCCAGGAAACCAAGATGAGAGATGGGGTAGGAAAGGGGAAGTGAGCGAGAAGGGGAGGGTGTCAACTGTCACTGCCCCCCGCCCCCCGGAGCCTTTATTGCTCAAATGCTTTCAGAAGAGTAGTCCGGTTACACACAGGTGTGCGCGCACACCCTCCACAAGAGGCCACAGAGACGTCTGTGCATATGCAGAGGCACAGCACATGCTCCTGGGCACAAGCCATTCTTTCCTCTCTCTCTCTCTCTCTCTCTCTCTCTCTCTCTCTCTCTCTCAGACACACACACATACACACAACCACCTGCCCTCACACCCCCCCCCCCACCACCACCAAGCACACAGACCCAAGGCCTTCCCTGGCCACCAACATGCCTCCTTGCAGGCTCCTGGCCGCCCCACAGCCCTCGTGCCATCCTCCCTCTGCAAAAACGTGAATAAGAGGGAGGCGGAGACATCTCATACCATCACTGAACTTCCATGTTGTCAATTCCACCGTCATCAATTCCACAGGCTGCCCCTTGTTGCCTGGGAGCCCCATGGAGGCCCAGAAAGGAGCCCGGATTTCCCCAGAGTCACACAGGAACTGGGGCACACATAGTCACCCCATCTGTCCCCACTCCAGGGCGCCCTCTGTTCCGATGAGCGGTTGCCTCTTTGGCATCAGCAGACTTGGGGACGGCGAGGAGGACCACGGGGCCTTGGGACCCCTGGCTGGCTGCCCTGTTCCGTCCTCTCCCTCCACTGCCTGGTGCCTCCCTGCATGCTCCCAGGCCCCTGGCCCGCCCCTCCTGGGCCTCGTCCAGGGCAGGAGGGGGGCCTGCGTGGGCCTGCACCTGGCGGCCGGACCACGTTCCCCCACCGTGGCTCAGATGCTCCTCACGCTGGAGATGCTAGTCAGGGGCTCCCGCATCCGAAAGCTGAGCGGCCGGGAGCCCCGGAAGCTGTCCCTGGGCCTCAGCGAGCTGTCCGTGGTGGAGGCTCCAGAATGGGCCTCCACGGCCCGGGCCAGGCAGTCCCCAGGCCCTCGCAGGCCCAGCCTGAGGCACCCGCAGCAGAGGAAGCCCAGCACCGCCCGGCACACCTCCCGGCTGCGGAAGGAGTAGATGAGCGGGTTGACCGCCGAGTTCAGCACAGCCAGCGCCAGGATCCAGTCCATGCCCCTCAGGTACTCCTGCGCCCAGATGTTGGAGCCGAAGATGTCGGCCAGCAGCAGACCGAAGAGGGGGCCCCAGCAGACCACGAAAGCCACCAGGATCATGAGCACCGTGTTGAGCAGCCGGCGGGCCTTGCGGCGGCACGGGGGGCGCGAGGCCTTCTGCCCATTGGCCCGCACCACCCGGAAGATGGCCCCGTAGAGCACCATGATGGTGGCCAGGATCCCGGCAAAGATGACCACGCAGAAGAGGATGTAGGCCTTGGAGTAGAGCGGGAGCAGGGCTGGGAGCAGCTCTGGAAGGAGCACACGCAGTTCCAGCCCAGCAGGGGCAGCAGGCCCAAGCAGGGCGGCCCAGCAGCCAGCACAGCCCCGATGAAGCCAGGAACGCGGCCCTCTTGGTGTACCCCGCTCTCGGCTACCCGCCGCACCATGGAGGCCAAGCGCTCGACGGCGGTGACAGCAGAGCTTAATGGTTGCCTCAGCCCTGGTCATGAAAGAGACCGCTCCTCCCTATGAACCAGTGCGCCGGGGTCCTGTTGTAAGGTGCTGGACCCAGACAGCATGACGGTGACTAGGTGGGCAAGGC